TTTAATCTGTGTACCTGCTGGTATCAGATTACAATTAGAAAAAAAGAGTGTGGGGTGGTCAGGGGGTGTGGGGGTAAGGGGAGATATATATATATATAGATATATATGTATATAAAAGTTATTCAAGCCAAATGTTTTTGTTTTTACCTTCTTCTCAGTTAAAAAAAAAATAAAATCTGAATTTATATTCTCAGGTTGTCTTCATCATAGCAATTGGTGTCTTTGAATTCAACTCAGAGACAGGCCCCATCAGCACTTTATAATCCACTCCAAAGTGTCAAGAGCAATTAAGAGCTAATGAAACACTCCTGGAAAAATAATAAGAGAAGTTATTTAATAATAAAGTCATTACTTAAATTGCTTTCTGGGGTCTTTCTGATGTGGTATTGATGTCGTTAAAAGCTCATAAGTGATGACTTTTCTAATTGGTTTTACGCCATTTTAATTCTAGGCTGGTTCAGACCTGCTAGTAACTGGGCCAATTCCTACTTTTCTAAGTCACAATCCCAACCCCACTGCCCAAAGTGAAATAAATGATTGAATAATTAATCAGGCACTGATGATAACCCATCTAGATGCCCGAGGCCTTAAACATCACATTTTTCTGCAATTATATGGACAGCTTAAGCAAAATTTGATTCATTCCTTGGCTTAAAAATTTTTGCTAATCTTGTAGGTCTGACATTAAAGAGATAACTTTTGTGGCTAGGTTGCAAGAATGGACTAGTTTGAGAGGCAGCAGAGAACATTCCTTTCTTTTAATATTACTTTAAAAAATTAAAAAGTACACATTTCCTATTAAAAAACTAAAACTACCTAGAAATCTATTCAGTAGAGTGGTATCACTTTTGCTTCCCTTTTGCTACCCTTATATTGCTGCTTCTCAAAGGTAGCCAGCCTGTAAGTGCTTCTTTCCTCTTCTCTTCTCTTCCCTTCTCTTCTCTTCTCTTCTCTTCTCTTCTCTTCTCTTCTCTTCTCTTCTCTTCTCTTCTCTTCTTTTCCTTCCTCTTTTGAAAGCTCGTTCTACGTGGGTGTTTGTGTAGTCACATTCAGGCAACTCCTGCTCTGCCTTACATATACTCATTGCTAATTCTCTACATGAGTTAATTCCCTTGGACTGACACATACCCTTTGGGTAGTTGATGAAAAATCTGATTCTTTCCCCAGAAAAATGCATGTACAACACAAATACTTGCACATGGTTGCAGGGTGTTCAAGGAACTCTAGAGGCTCAGAGAGCACGTGAACTGCAGGCAAACAGACCCTCTGCTATAAATCAGTGGGGAAGCTATCGAAGGTCAGAATCCTAAAACTAATGCAGTGCCTGAATTTCCTATGACAGGGAATGGCCATGCATCATCAATGTATGCTCAATTTGTTCTTATGTGTTAAGGAAATCATTGTATTGTTCATTACTGATTTCACAGGGATTTTAGGAGTATCCTTAGGTTCCAAAATTTAAAAACATACAAAAATTAGCCGGGTGTGGTGGCGGGTGACTGTAAGCCAAGTTACTTGGGAGGCTGAGGTACGAGAATCTCTTGAACCTGGGAGGCGGAGGTTGCAGTGAGCCGTGAGCATGCCATTGCACTCCAGCCTGGGTGACAAGAGCAAGACTC